TGTATTCAGAAACCATAGATTTTTATTACAAGAATGTAAAAGTTCACTATGTAATTGAAATGGCAGATGTGGAGTTATAAAATTTCTTAAAACTTTTCACAAAATCTAATTGAAACTGTTCGAAATATTAGAAAATCGCAGAATATCATATTTTCTAATTACTTCGTTCAAAAAAGAAGGTATCTCATGTGTGAGGCATTGGTTATGCTACAGGATATAAAATACTGTTGTATACATATGTTATCATGCCGTTACAAATTGAAAGAGAATTTTAAAATACTTGACAGATGCTGAAACAGGTATTAAAGAAGAAGATGGGTTTATGTCAAAAAAAAAGAAATAATTTTATAGACAGACAAAAATATAATTTACATAAAAAAATACATTTAAATGACAATTGTATATAAAGGTTAAAAATTACACATGTCTTTTGTTCATTGTCATTATTCATTGTGCATTTTGGTTAGTCAGAAAACACATTATTTCTCTTTGTCGGAAAGATTTACAAATTATAATATAATGATGAACGGCGTCGTTGAACTAATTAGAAAATAAGAATACAAAATGCGTAACGTATGTAAGTACGAATAGGCCCGTTCAGGTGTAAAATTTAGTAATAGGTTATAGAGAATTTCGCTTATATGTATTCAAATGTTCTCAATTTTCAATGTATACAAGAACGAATATATACATTGGAAAATCCACCTCTTTTAATAATCGGAATGTGTATTAGCTCGATCGATCGTTGCTGTGGAAAGAGAATAAGGAAGAAAATAGATTAACAAGTGAAATAATATTTATTACGTACGTTGATATCGTCCACTCGAAAGATTGTACTGATTTTCAAGAGACTATTGAATCTGGAAAAATGTGAAATTCAATGTAGCATTCTTAAGCATAACCATAGAATTAACGTCACAGAAGAATTGTTAAGTTAATTGATTAATTTTGTCAGATCCAATTGCGTAATAATTATTTAATCTTTTTAAAATCGGAAGCGTTTACATTTTGATTTAAAAATATATTAATTTCCGTATTATATCAATTTATCAAATATTTATAGAAATTCCTTTGCAAATCAATAAAAATATATTGCGCAATTTTTGTATAAATAATTTGTAAAGAACAATCTTCTTAGTTTATCAAAATTAATGACATCAAACAACTTCTTATGACAGATTTACGACCTTTACTTATCAAGATATCAATATTGCATATATCCAAACGTTCAAATTTGAATGACTAATTTTAATATATTGTGAGTTTTGAAATTATAATTTGTACTTGAATGCATTTGAAGAAGCAGCAAAACTGAAAACAAACATATCGATATACCTATAATACTAAAAGTTTAGATTTATCAAATAATTCTTTTTTCATTTGTAAATTTATAAATTGTATGAATAGGTAAAACTAAAAAAGTTAATCATAATTGATTATATGTTTATTTTTTTAAACATTGAACTATATTTCATAAGATCAGTATATTTTATAAGAGACGACCCGCTTAAAAATTGTTTCCACAAATTTGAATACTTTATCTTGTTTTTTATTTCAGTATATAACAACACAATGTGATCGATCGTGATTACTTGTCTCTTGACAGTATAATCAAAAAATTAAGTCTCATATAATGCGAAAAAGTTCAAATAGTTTCATACATATGTCTTATAATATATTTTAAAAATACACATAATACATACAAATACACATAAAATACAATATAATATATTATAAAACATCCACATGATACTGTCGAAAAATATGAAAGAAATATTTAGTCGTTGAAATTTCATAATTATTTTTTAGCCTTACTGCAGGAGAAAATGTTTGGTCAGATATATTACTGCACATTTAACACAGAAAAACTATCTATACAGATGGATACATAGCAATTCATTTGACCACAGACCTTTAGATAGTACTCTGATTAGCATGTAATTAATATTTCAAAAAAATTTTAAACTTTGATTGGATGAGACAATACCTTAAAATGGCTTAACATATAATAATTGGATAAAGATTAATTAAACAAATTAGTATGAAGAAATATTAAGAGATATTGCCTTGTATGACAAAAACTTACTGAACAAATAATGTAAAACAAGTTTAACAAATCAATTATACAATTCGAAAAATTGAAAATTACACAATTTTCATTAATCAAAGACAGTAATGGATATAGTAGAGCAGCAGTAAGTCCAGATTCAGAAGTCTCTTTAATATTGTTGGTCTTAGTAAATTAGCCTCTTAGAACTGATTATCAAAATGCGATTAAATACATGAAATTTATTTACTTTTATTCTCCGTAAGTACTTTCTACTTTGTTTATCGATTCTATATATATCATTGAAAATTACAAAGATAAACGCTACAAACCTGTAATTAAAATATTCATTTGTCTTTTCAAAAGAAACCCATCTGTAAACTTGAACCAGGGTGTATGGACCAATTATCGGCCATGTACCAGTAACCGTCAGTATGTACTTTGATTATAGCAAAATCTACAGTATTATAATACAACTGACGAGTACTGGTACATGGCCGATGATTAGGCCATCCACCCAATCTACAGATAACCCAAAAGCTTCAAATCCATACATAAATTATATTCCATCGTAAATCGCGCTCTTATTAAATTCCAAATTCTACCAAGCACAAGAATTTTAGTGACGGTACAAAACCAACCGTCCCTGTGTTTACTGAAGTCTTTCTTCAAAATAAATTGAAAAATAGCAAGCATGTATTTTAATATAGTGAATCTTACGCGTGTCAATATTCACTAAAACACTAAAATACATGGTTATAAAATCATCATGATACATCTGATTTAACGTTGTCCTAATGTATGTACAATAAAAAAAACTCTAAGCGTACAAAACGCATAATAAATCAATCCGTAGTATCATCATGAGGAACTTTTAAAATTAGAACATAACTACAATAATATAAACCAGATCATTTGGAAAAGTTCCTTTTTTTTTTAATGAACAAGATCGAACGGCAGGACGAAAAGAAATAAGAGATAAAACGTTATCGCTTAGCAATAAGCTTATTAATATTCGTTATTCAAAGAGTGTTGAATCGAAGCGGTTAGCTTTGCAAAATAAGAAAGAACGAAGCATACGAGTAAAGGTGATCGATCCATGTGAAAAATATTCTAATGCCGCATCTAAAGTATTTTCTTCGCCGTGTATAACTGAATGTAAAAGTTTTATTGGTACCGTTGAGCAGAAATGAAAAAAAATGACACGACGTCAGTATTTCCATTTAAGGGGACAAACGGAAAGTACCGACATTAAGGGAATGGTTAAAAGGCGATCCAATTAATATGAAGGGAGAAATAAGAAAGAATAAGGCCCAATTCCCATATAGAAGTCTCTATGCAGGACTCTAAACAGTTTGCGATAATATACTAAACGACTGTGGCGCCAGGTGTCACGGAAATTCACATTGGTGTGCTTTAACTGTCAAATAAATAACAGATAGCTTAAAAAATAACTGTAATGTGCTACGATTACATTAAATGTGGTTTTGTGTATTTATGTAAGATAATAACGATTTAAAAAATGAAATTACATGAGTCCACAATTGAGATACCGCGACGACCTGGAAAATCGATCATCGAGTTGACGAGTTCACTTTTGCTAAATTGTCCGCCTCGATTTTTCCCGGTCTCTTTGATGGACAAAAAAATGTCCAGAGATTCGTGTCTCCGATTCGCTGCTTTTTAATTCTCTTAGCCACGTTGTCACTGACACGTATAACAAAAAAAAAGATACAGACAAGGGACAAACTCGACTACGGATCTCGTGAGATCGATCAGAAGGGAGTCTTAAGAGATGTCGAAAAGTGTAATAGAACTTAATTCTACGCTCGGTTCACTGTAAATACGGTGTATTTGTACATTTCGTTTAGTACCATCCGCTTCCGGTATTCTTTCGCAAAAATTCACTCGCTCCTTTCCTCTTAACTGCCTTTCTTCTACTCTTTCCGCTCTTTACGTTTCAAAAGTACAAAGACTCTTACAAAAATACATGCAGACCGATGGAACTAAAAGAGTGGATAGGGAAGAACGAGAGAATAAAAGAGAAATATAGAGAGAAAGATGAACCGGAAATAATTGAATTTGATTATTCAAGAGATTGCAAAGCAGATACCTTTATGCAATGTAACGAAAAGGTTGCATGAAAAATGCAAAGTGATTAAGCGTAAAACGCAAAAGTACACAAAATACCGGAAGTGAATAGAGTTTAAGGTGTGAGGATCGATTGATTAATTGTTTTCCAATCGTGTTATTTCTTTCATGGGATTCAGCGAGTCGCTGAAAAAGTAGCCCGCAGGCCTAAATACACTCTAATTATTCTAGCTAAATGATGTCTTTCTTGATACGGCATCGAGGCAACTCGTAAAGTCCTGTCGAAAGACAATTTCCGATAAATCAAACTCTCGATGAACTTTGCACGGCCCACTCTTAGACTTTCAAAATTGAGCCTTGTGTTTTTTGGTAAAGATTAGTTGGTTCTTAAATTACATTACGTTTTGCAATACGTTTTATTACACCGATGCTGATTAATTTTTTACTCTTTCAATACTTATTCATATTAATAATACTAGGTTAGTCCGTTCCTTTGAGCAGTGTCAGAGTTCATCGGGTTGGACGAGGAACGTGCATAGGATTCCAAAAGGCAAATACCCAAATATCCGATATCTATATAATATAACAATTAATTACCCGTTATTACTACTATAACTTCGTAGGTACGCATATTGTACGATGAACAAAAACAAATTATTGCTTGTATATATATTGAGAATATCATAATAAAAGTGATGTACCAATGGGAGCGACTTGTCATCAGTTTCTCTTTTCCTCAATACTTATCTGTAATTGTCAGAATTTATTGCTTTAACTATTTTCCTCTCCTCGTGTTAATTACATTACACAATGAAACGGCAAATAGTCAGGACTATGAAATTGAAAAAATCACGCAGCGTGAAACAATTGAAGCCATTTTTATAAAATTTTATTATTATACTTATACATTACAAATGACAAAGTATTATATACGCAACAGTAATTTAACTATTTAATCTATAGACACGAAGATGTCTTATAAACATTTGGCATTACGAATTCTTATTTTACAAAACTTAGCGTAATAGAAATAATTTCATAAAGTATTATGGAACGTAATTTGAAGAATATACTCGCAACGAAATTGCGGTAACGGGACCAATTGAAACCGTATTTCAATCATTTGAATTCATGAAACTTCGTCATTGCATAATAACGAATAGTTTACCACATAAACATTGTTTATAAATATATACTATGTTTAATGGAAATAGTTTTACGTATATCAATTATTTAAAGAAAGGACTTTCATCTTCAACTTTGTTATACAATTAGGAGCACAAAGGTAAACAAATTTTGTCCAATGCCAACTTTTTTCATTTGTTGACGCAATATTCATAATGACCCAGCGTCATAAATCTGGAATGATGCTTATTTAAGTTATTGAGATCGTTATGTGTTTTGCTATTTTGAAATCACAACGAAAAAAAATACAGTAGAACTCTGATTAACTGAGATTGGATTGACCTGGGAACGGTTCAAATGTGCGCCTTCCACAGCACTTCCCTCGGTTAATCGAAATTCTACCATACATATAGGACTCTATGCACATCACACGAAGAAACATTATAATCAATATATCTATACCTTTTTTTTAAATGAAGTTAGTCTTGCTAGATTTAAACGTTACGCATAAACAAAATTGTTGTAGTTTCAGTATGTCTCCTGTAACGCAAAGTTTGATGACATGAATTTGATACGAGCAAAATTTTATGGTTAAAATACAGGAAATGCAGTATTAATTAGTATAACAATGAATGAGAAAATAATCGTGACGTGTAAATGAAACACATTATACCTATAATTAACAGATATGGTAAATAGGAGCTATACTACCCTTTGTTTTTGATAATCCCATGTCTTAATATCAAGCTTCATTCCTTAGATACAATCTAATATACCTAAGGACCAATGATACAATTTAAAATCCTTTCAACAAAAATATAATTAATGAAGTACATGTAAAAATTACGAATTTAAAAAATTAATTTTTAACATATTCGCTATGATGACAATCTCCTATTAACCAATGGAAAAAATATAGCCTTTAGGAACAATTTGAATATGCACAGGGAACCTTGAAAATGTAAAATTTTTCAATGATAATATGCATAATAGAAAATTAAAATACGCACTCCAAATAAACACTCATTTATGATGCACTTCAATTGAAATACAGCTTGAATCACTTCATTAGGAATGATAAAACAAGTGGTTGATAAGACACATATTGAGTCCTTTCTTGAAAAAAGTAAAACTTCCTTAAAAATAGGCAGACTTCTTCACGTTTCAATTAAGGTATTCCGAGCGTAGAACGATAGTCTTTAGAAGTTAATAATTTTTGGTTATGCTACATTTTCATCACGTAACATCATGTTAAAATAAACTCAGACTTAGTTTCGGACCTTTCAATGATTAATTGTCACTGTTCGTTCTTCGGAAGAAAATATTATCGAAAAATGCGAGAATAAGTTTGGCTTCATATTATAATCATGGCACTTTTCACAGCGGCATAGCTGGTAACTTTTTCCATAGTCAGTTATGCAATCTTTGTCGTGGACAATTAAGTTTTTAGAACAAAAATGTCGAAAAAAAAACTATATACAAAATTTAAATATAATAAAAACCTTCTAAAATCGTTTCAAGGCAGTATAGCTTTATATGCTCGAAAATATTATGGAACTCACATAGATACCCACAAAAAATGCATCTTCACGCTCGAAATACCTTAAAGTAGAATGTAATTGAATATAATACAGTGTATACAGTAACTACCAAGATAGACTTGTATGAATTAACACAACGTTCAGCAAGGTTGTATGTTTATGAGTGCTCACCTGATAGTGATATTGGCTCAAATTAAATGATAGCATGAAAGTGCGTCGATAATCGTCAATGTTGGTTACATAAGATATATATACGTCACATTTGCTTCATATTTGCATACATACATAGTTTTATATGTATACATAAAAATCTATCTCGGTATAAATTTATTCTTAAGGTTGCTGTTCAGCTCTAGTCCGTTCACGAATTCAATGTGTTTTTTTTTTTGAAGGATCAAAAGCAATGCAATCCTTAGCAAATCAAACATGGTTTTTCATACAATAACCTAATTATATGGTAAAATAGAAAAATTAAATATATTCAGTGCAAAAACATGCATATGCATACTTTATAACAAATATTTTATGCAGTGCCACGTATACAAAAGACACATCGAACTCGTGGAGGGACTATAAGTCTATATGTGCACACGAACACAGAATAATGACGTCCGAAAAGAGAAAAGCGGTACAACCATATTCTTCTTATGTTTTCAAGTAATTTGATACATTAATGGTTTAGCAGTCTTTCCTGCACGACCAGGAAGTCGGATCATCTCGCTTTAAAATTCCCTAAAAAAACTTGTCTTCAAGAGTAATGTCTGAGAAGCCGACCTGCGAAATCCTCATGGCCCCAATTTTATTTTCGTATATTTTTCTTTGAATTAGAATATTTGACATTTAAACACAGAGGGCCCGGTCTTCTATGGCATGTAATAAAAGCGGCTGAATCAATAATTTTGAACGAATTAAATGGAAAATATAAGAGAAGAATGGTTGTAAAGATTTTCTCGCTCCTGACGTCGCTCCCGTAATGTGCACACATAGAATAACTGAATAGCAGTATTATCTTTCAATATAATTCGCAATGCGTAACTATACAAATGACTGGAACTTGAATGTTTTATACAATTATTTCATGATTCACAATCCCACCCCGTAATTTGTTGCGAAATCTATTTTGAAATCACAAAGCTACCCCGTAATTTATTTACCTATTACTATATTACTTAAAAATATCACAAAAAAAAGAGCCATATTTCAATCTATAGTTTGAAATTGCATTTTCTTCATTAAAATATAATCAATGCGTAGACATAATTATATCTACATGCCAGAATTCTAAAAAAGGTGGTTTGGCATTCAGGAATATGTATTCAGATATTTTCAGACTAATGAATGTACAAAACTACTATAGTAAATTGCATCACTCTGCTAGTGGTAAAAAAATTGCAACATTTCTCTAGTGAACGAAAATATACTAGTTCTTTAACTACAGACAAATAGATTTCTCCAACCGTTTTATCTGTACCATTTTAGAAATAATAGTAAAAGTTAACGATTTTTTGTAAAACGTTCTATGCAGCTACTCGTCCGTTAATTTAAATAAGATCTGCTGATGGTAAGCGTACTGATCGAAATTTTGCTATAAATGGGGTTCATAAAATTTCAAAGACTCCTGGAGAGTCACTGACCGATATATCATGACATATGACAAGCCTAAAACTGGCCAGTATCTCAGATTTGCTGGATCAAATGACCAAAATTGAAAAAACTGTTAGTTTTTGGAAACTTACTGATAATTAAATAATTATGAATACTCGAAAATGCGAAAATTTTTATATTTTTAAATTTTGGAAACCTTAGGAGATTAACCTTCATAGAACTGCAATAAGACTCATTTTTCACGACATTCCTGATCTGATTCTTGTATTTCATCCTAACACTCGAGGGGTTATTAACAGCGCGTACATATGAACATGCAGTAAAATTTGTCAGTCATTATGTAATATAAAAGATATTAAATTTCAGAGTTAACAAAAATAAAAAGACACGTATCAGTTTTCAACATAAGTAATAAACGCTGGTAAGCACAATATCAACAGAAAAAGTGAGCTTCATTTGACCGATCAGATTATAGGTCAGATTAAGGACAGTGCAAGACTCTTACTGTCAACAACCACTTCATCTGTTAAATAGTGAAAGCATAGTAGAAACTGCAGATATAAAAGAATCTAACTTTAAATGAAAATATAACCCACTTCTCCACATAAATTTAAGCAAATAACTGCACCACGTGTTCTGAGTAAGGAAATTTCCGAACACCACATAAATGACTAGGAATCTGTATCCCACGTTTTGTGCACCTTATGTCTTAAATGCTCCAGCCTGAGCAGCCTTTATGATAAATGTTTTCAAAGTAGCTTCATCGAGATTGGCGAAATTCGGTGTCTGTATAATCTCGGTCATATGATTAAGCGCAAACTTGAAACAAAATTCCTCCAACTCCTACACAAAAAGCATTTCAACATTTCTTCGCCCAATTTAAGAAATGTAGATGCACATTTGATTTAATGTACAAGAATTAAGGATCGTCGGACTTACCTGTGCGTTATTTTCTATAGCTGTACTATAAAGAAATGCAGCGTTTAATACTGTAATTCCCTGCTTTATCATTTGCACACATCGTCTTTTCAACTGTGTTTCGAAGTATGCATTGGCCAAATCTAGTAGTTCTGTAAGTAATCCAAGTAATTAAATTAAATTACCTCTTAAATAGTAAAGAAATTAACGTCTATAAAATTAAAATAAATACTATTATGAGTTCTCACCAAGTATTAAAATGTTGTAAGAATTATAAATAAACTTTCTTTGACGTTATTCAGTTGTGAGACATATGCTTACCTAGTGCATTTTCAGGAGGCAAGTCAACTTCATCTGTGTAAAGATATTTCAAAAACGATTTGTATACATCATACGAAAACTGCTCATGCTCAAGAACACTAAAAATATAATATATAATATATGAAATATATATGAACGATTCCATCAGACTTCAGCCACCCGTATTTTATTTGCTGTGCTACGTGAATTCGGTCGTTTTTATCTTGAACACAAATATCCCGGAGACGGCATCATATCAAAAAATTATAAAAAATTATTAGAATTTATTTCTTTATTTTTGTTTAAAATTTTTAACAAAATCTAGTGTTCTGATAAATTAAAAAAAAAATTGTGACTAAAAAACAGCGGAATGTCCCAATTTGTAATTTTGCGCAATATTCATATTTTGTCTAGAGAATATTAAAAAAATTCCGTAACACCGATATTGGTGGGGCTTTGGTCAGGAAAAAATTTTTGTGTATTTTGTTTTTTGAAAACAAGTTTAATTACTCAAAAAATAAAAAAAAAATGTTTATTGTAAATACTAAAAAAACATAAAACATTCATTTTTTATAATTTTTTGATACGATACACCGTCTCCGGGATATCTGTGTTCAAAATAAACACGACCGAATCCACATAGCACAGCAAATAAAATACGGGTGGCTGAAGCCTGATGGAATCGCTCATTTATAATTTATGGTTAAAATATTCGTAACACATATGTATAAAATACATACTTTTGGTCATTTTCCACCCAATGTTTTTGAAACATCGATCTAAAGTATTGACAGCGAATTTTTAATACTGATTTGTGTACATGAATTGGCTTTCCTTGTACTTGTATCGTGAGATCACTGGTAATCTTTAACATAAAATATAAGTATGAAACAAAGGAAAAAAGTTATCTAATGACTGCAATTTATAATCACATTATCATGTAACAAACTGTAGGTCCGGTCATTTATATGTTTAGAGTGCTTTTGAGTACTATAATTTTCACATTCTTTAATGTTTTGACGACGTTAATAGCAACTTAATAGATTTTGACCTTATAATCAAATTTGACTTGTAATTCAGAAGGGTATCATCAAATATCATAATGCTCCAGAAAGCATCAGAACACTTAAAAATACAAAATCGAACAGAATAAAAATTGATATAAAATTGACTAAAAAATAAAAAATCGACCAAAATAAAAATTGATATAAAATATGTAATATCAAAACAAAAAATCGAATGATTATGCAATTTTAATCATACCGGATCGTCGAACGCTTGTTTTAAACAATCAAGAATGCCTATTTCCTCTTCTGCATGTAGGATGAGTGGTTTGTGCATAACACTGGGAGTTGCGTAACAGGCCAGTGCTTCATGTATAGTGGCTAAGGGTGTTGCTGTCGGCCGAGTAACAGACTGTCCTCGACACTGACCCCACATAAAAATGCGACCGCCTTGACCTACAGCAACGCTTATATGATTGCAGTGTAAAGCTGCTATATCTGACACTCTCCCCATTTCTGGTACCCCATCAAGTCTGATAGGAATACAAGTATTTGTTTTATTTCCAAGTCCTAATTGTCCATAAGTGTTTCCACCCCAAACATACAATACTCCTTCATCACTAAGAGCTATTGTGTGTGCATAGCCGCAAACTACTTTCTCTGAAGAAAAATATAAAATCACACACTGTCAGATGTTCTACTAAATCATGAATAAATGATATATGCGTTATGTAAATATTTACCTATAACAACACCTACGAGTGTTGCAACTTTATAAGGATTTAACTGATTGACATAATTCCCAATACCAAGCTGGCCAACGCCATTATAACCCCAAGCATAAACATCACCATTATCTGTGACTGCTATACTGGAAGTTTGTCCACAGGCAATTGAAATAACTTTCTTCGTAGATAAACTAGAATTGACTTTTCGAGGTGCACATTGATTTGAGCTTATTCCACTGCCTACTTGACCACAGTTATTTTGGCCCCATGCATAAACCTATGGGTGCAATGTATCATGATCTATATGTATATTATAATATTAGCTATTACGCTATTTCTGAAATAGGCAATTTACCACTTCTTTAATGAAATGAATATTAAGTTTGATTTTCCATGTTAAAAAAATATGTGCAAGATTTCTTGAATCTTACCTCACCCTCATCTGTCAATACTAAAGAATGATGACTACCACAAGCAATATCAATCACAAATTTATCACTTAAATTCATACATATTGATGCTGGTGTATGTGTTTGATTCGAAGACCCATTTCCTACTTCATAATAAGCATTGTGGCCCCATGAATAGACCTAAAAAGACATAAATAAGAATGATGACTTTATAAAGATTATAGTAGCTGTTTAAAATTTATATAGTGAACATTCGTGCTATCGTGGAAAACACTTGCAATTAAAGTCTTTTACTTTATCAGATGCTTTGCTAATTGCAGTACTTTTTAGCTTACTAATATTACAATAGTCCTCTGTATAAGATAACAATATATCTATTAAATGAAATTAATTACATAAATCTGAACAAATTTTTAAGTGGAATATATAATAATATTAATATAATATAAATAAAATGATGAATACACTGTATAACTTGCTGTTTTGATTACCTCTCCTTGGTGTGTAAGAGCCAGTACATGAGGTCCACTGTCGTAAGCAAACGTTTTTATACGTTTCTCACAAAGAGTATCTACTTTCTTTGGATACAATGTACTATGTGAATCGCCAGTGCCTAAGCACCCTGACGTATTAGTTCCCAATGCATATACCATGTCATTCTTTGTTACAATTAATGCTTCATTTCCAAGGATACCTATATTTAAAAATAAATAAGTATCTGCTTTTAATAACACAAGTAGAATGTTTAAACAAAATTTAGTGAAGTACTTAGTATAGTATATAAAAAATGTAGTGAAAGTATATTTACAAAAAATTAACTGCAAGAAAATTTAGTGTTATATACAATATATCCATAATTTTAATATGACAAAGTTGTTACAATGTTCACTTAGTTTAGATTTAATGTTGTCCATATTATGAATATATAGAATATATTACTTTTTAATGTGAAACAATAAGAGACTAAAATGGAAGAAAATATAACAAAGGAACTGTCAAAACAAATGTCTTTATTACCAAAAACTGCAACCATACTAATTTGAGTTATAAAATCTGGTTCAAGCAGGCTAAATATAGGCCAATTCTTTAAATCTGCTCGAGACATTTTTTTATTATGCCACTATTAATTTGTCACTTATTTGTTCTTGCAAAGACTGTGATTTAAACATGAAGGCTAGACCAAGGGGGTGACACTCCAAATGGGCTATAGTGAAACCGTTGAGTGTAGATAGGTATACAGATACGGAGGACGTGATGGGAGCAGAGATGAGTGGGGAGATGTACAACGCTCCGGTTTTAGACGATACCAAAAGCATGGCGCTAAATCGTAGCGGCGAGTCCGGGAGTAGGATTTCGTGATCATCGCCTCTGTCGATGTTACAGATTTCGCGTAACCGCGCGGGTCATGATCATCGTTCCAGCGGATACTGCAGTCAGCGAAAATGAATGGATTGCTCGGTGGTGGGGAAAAAGTTGCCGCCCCTCACAAATCGTTCTTGACAAACAGGCGGGGCAGCAAGGTCTTCCGTCCAAACGAACCCTAAACATTTGCATGGACGTAATGCGCAAACAAATGTGTATATTCAAATAAATTTCAGTTATAAAAAATGCAAAGAAATATTGGTTTTCACTCTTTACCTCTTATCATGCCGAAAATGAACATTAAAAAATGAATGGCGAAATTAATTGGTAAATGAAACGACCGAGAACAGTTCAAAGAGAAATTTTGTAATATCATAGATAAATATCTATAAAAAATTTAATGTAGAATTAAACGAGCAACGTGGCTGAGTCAATAACTTGTCAAGATATACCGCTGCTGGTTACGGGTTCGATCCCCCATGAAGAACTCTTTTTTCATCTTCTTTTTTTTTTTATTTTACTAAAAAAATTGTTCAAGGTTCCTTTCTTTTAACCTTTCTAGGTTGCCCAAACTTTATTTTAAGTTTATATATTTTTTTTTTAATTTTATCTATGACAGAATCGAATAATATTTTAAACGCCAGCTCGTGCGCGCGACCGGCGACTTGAGCAATTGCGGGTCCTCTCGCTGACGGGTCTCCTATTGCAGTTACTGCTGCCGCTGGTTCTTATAATCTTATAAATACTTTTTTATTTGCAATCTTCTGTTCCAGCGCCCAGTGTAAACTCAATAAGATTTACTATGAGAAAATAAGTAGCTCACTTCATTACCTGGAATCAATAATCTTGAGAAGCAAATATGGAAATGAGCATTATCTCTGTCTGTAATTGTTCGTCCACATGTAGAAGGGTGGCGCGAAAGTTCTTAACTGGTGTGCATCTTCATATTATTCTGTTTATATGTAAAGTAAGCGAAACGACAATAGTAAGCAGTTGAATAAACGATCAAATTCTAGAAATACAACTTCCGAAAAATATAAAACAAACAGATGTTTCTGATGTCTGGCTAGTGCACCCGGTTACGAATCGGGAGGTCTATGGTTCGAGACCCCTGTATGGAGAGCACTTGCTTTTCACAAAAAAAATGTGCTTTTGCAAATAGGATTAACAGATTAAAGAGCATATCCAATCAATTTATTTATCTTATTACAGTAAAGGCATAAACAACGACAACCTGCGGGCTTCCACATCACCCAAGAGGTGCCGCAGTCGATGCGTTCCCATTATTTAACGTAGCGGTCCCCAGTAGGCCTATACTACGATCAGCCTATACTATTTTTCAAGGTTCCTCTCTTTCAAATTTTCTCGATTGCCCAAACTTTATTTTAAGCTTATATAAAATATTTTTAAAAAAAGGTCTGTTATCGGGATTGAAAATCATTGTCTATTAACTCACAATATTCTCTCTCGCAATATCTTTCATAGCAATAAAATAAACAAGAGACGTGTTGCGTCTTGTTTCCTTATAACTATTAAAGAACTACTTACC